CGCCTTTAATCCCAGCACTCAGGAGGCAGAGACAGGCAGATCTCTGTCAGTTCAAGGCCAGCCTGGTCTACATAGTGAGTTCCAAGCCAGGTACAGGGAGACCCTGTCTTAAAACAAAATTTATTATTTTTATTTTATGTGTATGAACATATTGTCTGCATGTATGTATGTGTACCCGTGTCATGCAATGTCCTCAGAGGTCAGAAGAGGGCATCAGATTCCTCTGCAAGAGCAGCCAGTGCTTTTTTTTTTTTAAATTATTTTTATTTTATGTGTATGCATGTATTGCCTGCATGTAAGTAAGTGTACCTATGTTGTGCAGTGCCCAAGGAGGACAGAAGAGGCTGTCGGGATTCCCTGGAACTGGAGTTACGGACAGTTGTTAGCTGCCATGTGGGTGCTGGGATTTGAACTTGGGTCTTCCAAAAGAACAGCCAGTGCTCTTAACCGCTGAGCCATCTCTCCAGCCCTGGCACTGCCTTTATGGGGAGCACTCATAGCTGGTTTTTTTGCTTTTGTCCTGGGGGTGGACAGAACCCAAGCCTCATGCAGGACAGACAGTTGTGCTGCCACTGGGCTACGTCTCCAGTCTGACATCTTTTATTTTTATTTGTGTGTGTGTGTGTGTGTGTATGATGGGGGGTCGTGTGCATGCCATATCACACATGTGGAGGTTAGAAGACAACTTTGGTGTGTATGATGGGGGTCGTGTGCATGCCATATCACACATGTGGAGGTTAGAAGACAACTTTGTGGAGCTGGTTCTCTCCATCCACCTCTACATGGGTTCCAGTGACCAAACTCAGGTTACCAGGCCTACACAGCAAGCCCCTTTACTCACAGCCATCTTTCTGGCCCTCGATACCCACTTTATTGATGTCTGCTATTCCTCTGGAGTAATAAAGGCAAGTGGGTAAAATGAGAAAAGTCCTCCTCAGTCCTGTCCTCCCTCCCTTACTGGCCAATCTTTCCATCTTCAAAACCAGGGTATCCCCCAGTGCGTCTCAAGTCCTGGCAGAGGCTGCCCTGAACTCCCCCACCATCCCTCAACTCCTGCTCAGAGAACTCCCGTGTTCCAGGAGGCTCTGTACCCTCACTCATCTAGGTCTATCACAACTCTCTTATCCCTCCCTTTCCCAGAATTCCTTGCAACTAGTGCAAGCTGTGTCACCCAGTCTGGCCAGTGAGGTCTCAGAAAAGTTGGAGGCAAGGGTTGAAAGAAAAGGAGCAGACATGGCTAGAGCATCCCCTCTCCTGGCTGCCATCGACACAGCTGTGAGGGCTGGAGCGGCAGCACCCTGCCAAGGATGGAGAGGCAGAGACAGCCTGAGCCTGAGCAACTGGAAGAGTGCCAACAGCTTCCTGCCCCCACCCCTCAGGAGGTTCAAAGTAAATTTCCAGTTCCTGTGGTCAAACGCTGTTCTGAACTACTGCAGTGGTGAATCCCACATCAGTGAATGGCTTTATCTCTATGGAGGCCAGATAATTTACCCCACCTGGTACTCAGCAGCATTCGTTCAGAACGTCAAGACAACGACAATGTGACTCCAGACTCTAATGGCCCAGTTCAGATCCCAGTGCTGCACTGGGTATGGTGGTGAGCACCTGTCACTTCAGCACTCAGGAGCCTAAGGCAGGAGGATTGATTCGAGTTCAAGGCCAGTCTGCGGTACATAGTGAGTTCCAGTCCAGTCAGGACTTCAGGGTGACATAGAGAGACCTTGTCTCAAAAAAAGGGGAAAAAAATAAAATGAACAGCCCTAACCTGAGAATCCAAAATGCTCCAAAATTCAAACCTTTGAGCACCAACAGCACACCCCATGTCAATGGTCAGTGCAGCAGAACTTTGTCCCATGCACAATATTATTTAAAACTCCATACAAAGTACCTTCAGCCTATTGTGCAAAGTGTATATGGGTTGTAAACAAATTTCAAGATTAGACTTGGATTCCATCCCCAAGACATTTTTTTGGAAGCACGCATGTGTGAGCATGTGTGTGGAAGGCAGAGATCCATGTTGGTGTCTTTCTTGATCACTCTCCACCTTATATTTCGAGAGAGGGTCACTTACAAGGACCTGGAGCTCACAGTTTTGGCTACACTGCTGGACCTTAAGCTCTAGGGATCTTCTGCCTCTGCCTCCCTGGCACTGGGATTGCAGGTACTCACTGCCATGCTTGGCTTCCTGATGGTGCCAGGGGTCCTTGAGCTTGGGTGGCATGCTCTATGCTGACAGCCATCTCACCAGCCCCAGTCCCCATGTGACAACATCCTGAATTCAAATCTCTTCCAGTGCCCGATCCTGAGAATGTACAGAGGTCACACTGGCTTGAGCCTGCTCCCTTTTACCTTCCACCAAGCTGTGTTCGGAATGCTTTTGGGCATTCTTCTACCCCAGCAGCCCAGTGAGGGGCAGAGTACTTGCCTGGCATACACAAGACCCTGGGTTCAGCTGGGTATGGTGGCCCACGCCTTTAATCCCAGCACTTGGGAGGCAGAGGCAGGCAGATCTCTGTGAGTTCAAGGCTAGCCTGGTCTACATAGCAAGTTCTAGGCCAGCTTTGGCTACAGGGAGACCCTGTCTCAAAAAGACTGAAAAAAAGGGACCCTGGGTTTCATCCCCAACAACAACAACAACAACACACACACACCCCTGAAGATATTTTTTCTGTTCAGAGGACACTGCAAAGAGGGCTTGGAGAAGTTCATGACTGAGCCAAGAACTGAGAGGCCCAGGCCTTCCCACCCCCTATACCAGGGCAGACCAAGGTCCATCAAAGCAGACTGACCACAGGCTCAGTACACAAAACTATCCTCCAGGGGACACCTGTGGCTAAACACCTAGGTTTCAGTTCACTGCTCGCTTCCTGCATTAAAGAAAGAGGTGGGGAAACCTAGGAGCTCAGAGGACCCTCCAGGTGTCTCAGGGCTGACTAGACATGACTGTCAACAATACACCCCAAATGCATGAGATCAAGGAGACACATGTACTGGAGGTGACATCATCGGGCACTGCAGCAGGCACAGGGGTGTGGCGAGGTCCAAGCTTTGAGGAATTCATATAAGGACAGCATTGTTCTTCCTTCCAGAACTGAGAGAAAGAGTCCACATCCAGAGTTTCTGTCTCAACAAAGAGGTGGCCGTCTCCTCCTAAGAGAGCAGAAAGGGGGCAATATCTGTTCCCTCCCTGTTCAGGTCTCGCAGGGGCCTGGCTGGAAGGGTGAAAGGCATAAACACAGAGAGGCAGCCACAAAGGGGCCGCAGCCTGGCGCAGCACCTGCCAAGCAACAGCTTTGCCTGGAGGTAGAAGCTGTGAGCCCCAGTGAGAGGGGAGGGGCTCCACCTGCCAGAGCACCTGCTCGAAGAGCTTCAGAGGCTGTCCCCCACACCAGGCCACCGCCAGGGGAAGGGGCCTGGGAAGGTCCTAGAAGCTCACACAGGTACGGTGTCCCAGGGAGTGCTTGGCAAGAAACAAAGAGGTAGCCAGGCATGGTGGTGCACGCCTTTAATCCCAGCACTTGGGAGGCAGAGGCAGGCAGATCTCTGTGCGATCAAGGCCAGCCTGGTCTACATAGTGAGTTCCAGGACAGCTGGGGCTACAGGTAGACTCTATCTCAAAAAGACCAAAAAAAAAAAAAAAAAAAAAAAAAAAAAAGAAAGAAACAAAGAGGTAAATCAAGAAATCCAACAAAGATGCCAACAACTCCTGGATCAGCGCGGCAAAGCCATTCATTCTCCAGATGGGTCAGGGCGACTTCCTTCCTTCCTTCCTTCCTTCCTTCCTTCCTTCCTTCCTTCCTTCCTCCCTCCCTCCCTCCCTCTCTCCCTCTCTCCCTCCCTCCTTCCATTTGTGTTGAGACAGGGTCTCCCAGCTGGCCTGGAACTCCCTATATAAACCAGGCTTGCCTCAACTCACAGAGATCTGCCTGCCTCTGCCTCCCTGAGTCCTGGGACTAAAGGTGTGCACCACCACACCCGGTTTTGGGGTCAGGGTGACTTTCACCAGCCCTTTGATGCCCATCTGACAGATCCCAGACTGAACTGGGAACTTTATGGGGATCGTCCCTAACAGTGGCCAGCAGTCAATGATACCACCATCTCAATGGGCAGCCTGACGTCACTGTCCATGTACCTGTACTGTCAGCTTGCTGTAAAGGCAGAATAAAGTGCAGGGTTCACACAAAAGGCAGGAGGCAGGAGCACAGATGTCCCACACTGAGGTCTCCCATACTGGGGTCTCCCACACTGGGGGGTCTCTGACCAAGGCTCAGCCAGGGGTACTGAACACAGAAGGAAAGAATAAAGCCAAATGGATAGACCAGGAGGTCGTTCCCCCCCCCAAGCCTCCTCAAAGCGGACAGCAGGTGTACTATGCAGCTTCACAGACACCCACTAACGGTACCTGCGGACTGGCAAGACGAATACACACATGCGATGCAAACATCACTAGTTTACCACATGCTAAGCAAGACTGCAGTACACATGAAGACGTCTTTACAGCACTGAAAAAACGGAAGGCTTCGGGCCAGGTTAGTCTCATGAAATATGCATAGAATCTTCATGCACAAACTTCTAAAACTCCACAAAGAACCAGAAGGAAACTGGCTGTGATGGTGCAAGCCTGTAATCCAAGCACTTGGGAGGTGGAGGCAAGGTGAAGAGTTCAAGGCCAGCCTGTTCTACATAGCAAGTTTGAGGTCTTGTCTCAAAACACCAAAAGTAAATAATACAAACAATTCAGATAAATGGAGACACAGACCTGCTTATGGCTGATACATCTCAGTGTGGCAGAGTAGAAGCAGCGTGTGCACAGTGCCTGTGAATGTGTGCGAACC